AGAAGACGAACAGAAATCGCGTCTGCTCCAGGGGCTTTATTTTGGCAGGCCGTTGTAACCCACTTGGCTTCCTTGTCCGTAACGCTCGAGACCCGTGGAAGGTTTCCGCGTCCTGGCTTGAATTCCTCAGCGTCGACGTCGTTCTGACTGGTGAACCGGCCAAGAAAGAGGTCGCGCAACAGAAGTGCACGCTTTCCTGGGTCCGAAGCAAAACCGTCGGGAGTTTGAAGTGGTGGAGCAGCGGATGTAATTCGCGGCTTTGCCCAGCGTGCTATCCGATACATGTCGACGTCAGTTGTGGCTTCGGAGAACTTCCGCCGCCAGTACTGGCGTTTCGCACTTCTGACTATGCGACGGAAATACTTTCTGCTCTCTTCGTCCCTGAATATCCGGTATTCGCGTTTGGCCTGTGAGCACTCCAATGTCCACCAAGGTGCCGTCCTATTCTTCTTCGTACTCCCGCGTCTACCAGTGGCCCTGATTGCGTTGCTAATAGTTTGGACCAGCTTATCAGCAAGGTTGTCCACCGCGTCTACTGAAACCATCGGCCGTAGCTCTATTCCTTGAGCCCAACGACCTAGCACTCTTGCAAAGTCTTCGAGGGCGTCGTCTGTCACTCGAAACGGTTGGCCTGTTTTGATAACAGCTCTAGCTTTCGAGTTCGGACGGGGGACGTCTCCTGCAAGAGTTCTGTGGTCCGATGTCGAGTCAAGCTCTATCGAGACGTCTGCAAGGGCTTCCGCGTTAGACCAAACTAGGTCGAGTGTATTTCCAAGATCGTGAGTCGAGACGCCCGGGGTCGAAGATAGGTCCATGCCGTGCTTGGACATCCATTTGGCGAGCACTTGGCCGTCACCAAGTAGCCTGGTGGCCATGGGCTGCCAGTCAGGGTGGACGGCATTGAAATCTCCGCCAACTACTGTGGGCCCAGACGGGGCCCATGATAGGAGCGGCGAAAGGTCTGCTCCAGGAGCGCGACACACAGAGACAAACGTGACTCCTTCAACCCTTATGGCGGTAAGATCTGGTGATGCCTCGCAGATTGCTAGTTGCAGGCACTTGGTCCCTTTTCGCGTATAAATGAGGGAGCGTGGCCTTGCGGGGTTGACTGTGACATGGGGGGGCAAGTGCTTGTCGAACCCGGGATGCGACTTGGTGAGCCAGAAGCCGTCCTTGTGTTGAGTCCAGGGTTCCTGGATGAGTAGGACATCGGTTCCTGAATCCCAGGCGGGTTGCAGGATGATGTCTGTAGCGGGGTCTCCTCTGCCCAAGTTAGCGCAGAGGAACAAGATCGTTGTTGCCGTTGTGTGTAGCTCGGTAGGGTTGTGGTCCCTTACGGGCATTGAGCAACGTTTGTAGCTTCGTTTTCAGCAGTCGCCTCAGCGGCTTTCTGCTTTGCTTCCAACTCTCGGATCGAAGCGTTTCTTTCTTTTTGACCTTGTTCCCGGATCACCGACAGCTGGTCTCTTGTGCGTTGCACAGTCTCTCCGCCGGCCCGCGTCGGCCTGGCCATGCAGCTAGGCTCGGTTGCGGCATGTGGCCCGTGGCAATTGATGTACCTTGGGACGAGCTGTTTGCACTCAGTAGCCTTGTGCTCAATGGAGCCGCAGCGGGAGCAGCACTCTGCTCGTGAACAGATCTTAGTTGGGTGGTATCCCCAGCATCGGTTGTATTGCGCAATTTTGGCTTAACGCTGAAGTTCGTGTAAGCGACCGCTCTCTTCGAAAAGTCTTTCTCCCAGCTTTGGCTTGCCGGTTGTAAAATGCAACACACAGTCGGTGGACGGCCTAGGCATGCTTGTCGCAAAGGCACGAGCCGAGGTCGGTCTAACGCCTGTCTTTGAGGTCGCTTCCTCCATTACCATCTCCGATGTTACTGGCGTTGGTCCTTCTAAAGTGAAGAGTCTGTCTAGTACATTAGGCGCCAACACTGAGATCCAGTTGGAAGCAGCTTCCAGTTTCATTTCCGTGCTCTCCAGGAGTACGGCACCTGAGAGGAGCGCGTTTCTTGCTCCGTCTCCTTCAGCTAGTATCGCAAACCCTGAGTTGACGATGGTAACCTGCTTAATTGCAGAGTTAGCTAAGCGCAGCTTGCTTGCGAGGCTCATTTTGATATAATGATGAGACATGCGTCTCCATGGGTGGTCGGGCTTGACCCGCAGGAAAACACGCTCGTCTGGGCGAGCTAACTTGGGAGTTGAGGCAGTAGGCCTCGAAGTTTGTGTGGGCCCTGTCGCTTTTGACTTAGGCTCGCTGGCTGGTTGCGATTTTGTCGCTGCTGGTGGTGCGGGCTTAGTCTTTTTCCTCACTACCTGAGTCCAAGACCCCTCAGTAACGATGGGGGTTTGTATAGAATCGATGTCGATTGGCCTAGTAGGCTTTGTCGAAGCCGGCCCTTTGCCTTTCGCCTGGCTGCTTTCTCTCGTGAGTATTTGCACTGATCGTGAAGTGCTCGCGCTATTCTTTCCTCCCGGCCTAGTAGCCGACGCGGGGAGGGTTGTCGTCTTGCTGCTACTGGCAGCCTCTGATGGCCCACTGGATTGGGGCTGGGGGTTTCCGCGCAAGAAGTTTGTGATAATGGCCTGTAAAGCCTCTCCATTCTTTTCGACAGCTCGTCGGAGCTGTTTGTCGGTTGTGGCCGCCAGTAAGTTAATGTACCCACTGACGATACGCTCAGCCTCTGCAAAGCGTATGTTAAACGCCCTCGCTTCATCTGCGAGGAAATTAGTCAAGGAAGCACCCATTGACTCGGGGGGGTTTGGGGGCGAGTATTGGCAGCTCGCCTCGCAGATCGGTTCTGCGTTTGCTTGTATGTTGTTGTAGTGGTGTTTAGGTGGCCCTGTGAGGACCATTTCGACGTCAGGATACGTCGAATTTACGGGTGGGAGGGGGACCGAGAGCCAGCCTCTGCGGAGGACTGGGGCGGCATGGCAAGGAGAAAATCAGAGAAGGTTGAACAGTAGATATTCGCGTGTCTGGCGCGTGATTGAGGAGTGTTGTGGTGTAATGGAGTGTGAATTGGCGGACAGCTGGTTGGACTCTTTTGTAATTTCTAGGTGTTGTGTTCATAATTGACTTGTCTACGCTATACAGGATTCACACATGTACTGTGGATCCTGGCTAGCGCATCCAGGTTGAGGTCATCATGTGATCCCCACATGATGACACATCTACTTTTACGTCTTAGATAAACCGACAATAAGTAGAATTTATTGCTGACTACATGAGACCACAGGATGCCAAATCAGGTGAATGAAATCAAGCTCAAATGATAGAATAAAAATTTGTGGGCTGTAGCATCGTTGAGAGGCAGCTGTGAAGATTTTTACTCATGATACAGGTATCTTTGGGATGAAAGTAGAGAGTGATTTTTTTTGAATCATTTATTGTGCATTCAGATATCTAGCTATGACACAGGACCAGTGATATGTATGCATGTTGGAGGAATCTTTTGACGTTAGAGACACTCATACTCTGGATTTCATTCGCAAATACCACTATGAGGTATGCTTGCTTACACAAACAGTCGACCCTCATCCGTGAGTACCCAACAAAAGGAAATTCAAAATTCGTGATCATTGAAGCACGACTTCGTCATCCAAGTACACTAGCGCCGCGAGGAAGTGGTTGTGTTTTACCGGACTCGAATCAGCGATCCCCTGCCTAAAGTGGGGTTGTGTCCAAGCTTCCCAGAATTTACTTGGGGGACCGGCCTTAGTGATGTACCACCGCACCACCGCACCATCTAGCCATAGCGTTGTTTGTAATTTCACCTGCACTCTAGAGAAGCACCTTGCATACCTCAAAATCAATGACTTAGAACTAACAACATTTGTACCAAAAAAAACATCATACCAAATATGAATTTCTGAGTAAACCTGGTTGGCAGAATATTCATGCCTTGTATTCTAGGCTCGTATAGTAACCTACCGACAAAAATACCCATATGTAGAATCCCTGCAACCCCGGAAGCCGGTGAAGCCTGGGCCTCCGATAATTATGCGAATGTTGGAGTGAGACAAGTTTGGTATGGCGCCCCCATGCCATGCGTGCATTAGGCGAGACTTCCAAATGTGGGGCTGGTCACCCCATAAGACATTCTCAAACCATACCGTAGTTTGGTAGCTAAGTCATCGACCATTGTGCCCGAACATGAGACGGATGCAATATGATCCACGCAACGCCGGAGACAATAGAAATTAAATATTCACGATAACGGCCAAGCCCTCACTCTAAATAAACAATTCTACAACCTCTACCAATTGTTTATGTACCCATTCTACAGCGCTTAACAATCAACATGTACGCTATATCCACAAACGACGAAGGCAACAGCACTTCTATCAGTGTCCCATTACACCATGTGTGATAATCTAATCCGTAATTTCTGCATTTCAACTTCATCTATCGATAGATGCCAATCCCAACGTCTGCATATAGCTGGGTTGGATGGCTTCATTTTGGCCTTAGCTAACGAGCATATACCTTATCTTGGCAATCTGTTTCAGATGAACATCAATATTCAGTTTCACCTCTTGTCATAGCCTACACCTGGCTGGCCTTTCAATCTGTCTAGGTTGTATCTGGAGTCGCCCTGCACTCGCCCTGTTATCGTATTTCTCGTCTTCCAGAATTAGATGCTCCTCTGACGATTTCTGTAGCAAAAGTCAGGCCTTCTATCTATACAGCGAATATCAAACCACAACCTAATTTTTATCCACTAGCGTTGAGATTAACCAATCTCTTTTGCAAACTACTGTTCGCTACTATACTTCTTGAGCCTTTTTTCGCTCATAAAACCGAGCTTACTTGTTGATAACAAACTGCGGCGACCCAACTTCGTCTTCTTAACGCCACATATCTATCGAATTTGTAGACCCTCATTTGAAACCACCTTTTCGACTGTTGTAGTTTTAGATAAACTACTGTATATTTACAAGATCGAACAGGAAATTCTGCTGGACGGAAACCCCATCAGAGCGATATCAAAAGACCAGATCTATGCTAAGAATGCTGTCCCTCTTTTCTATTCTACTGCTGTCGCAACAAGTTAGTTCTATCGGTACAGTAGACAACATGGGGATATGGACACGAAATTCTATATTGGAGGGTATCGAAAGATACAATGGACCAATTGATGCATTGGTTCAACGACGGCAATTGCCCGGAGGTCCAGGTATAAGTACGCCTGGCATGAGCCCAAGTATAAGCGGGATGAATTTGACGGAATGGGATGCAATGACGAAAGTTGCATGTGTTGAATCCTTAGGGACTTTCAACGGGAAAATCAACAACCCCTCTGGAATGGCCGTGTGTTATAATCTACCATTCTTAGATAACAGTACTGGGGTCTTTGAGGCTGACTTGCGACTATATATGGTCGCCAACCCTTCAGGAGGCTTCATCAACATTGCTGCTGACAAGGTAGAAGTGGGCTTGACATATGACGGCGCAACAGTGACTCCCGTTAATGCTTCGTCGTTGAGAAGAAGAGTTGAAGATAGATTTATTCCACTGGCGTCTTGGCCAAAGGAAGGCGCCATGGATGTAGCGAAGCGTGCAATGACCCCACGTCTGATAGAGTCTTATGCATTCGTCGGACAGATAAACAAAACCCTTCTTCCTACAATGAATGACCAGTATGTTACTGCTAACTCTAATAGCATATTTTACTAAAACGCTTACAGGACCGCTCTCCAAAAAGTACTTATTCCAATGGTTACTATTTCTGCACTCGACGTCACTGGCGCCACAATCAATACGTCCCTAAGTAAAGATGAAATTACTTTTGTAAACGGTGTTTTTTCTGGCTCAGTTTTACCTACTAAAGCAACGTTAGCTCCACCTATTCAAACACTTGTTGTAAGTAAGGATGCAGCCTTTATCGTACCAGGACTCAACATCCTGATTTTCCCTATTGGTCTCATCATAACTGGACTTTGGACAATTGCTTTTGTCTCTACAGTATCATATGGTACATTCCGTCGCACTCAACATCGGGATGAATTCCGCGAAAAATCTTTTTCGTCAAGTAGGGACGGACTAATGAGTTTCTGAAATTTGTAACTAGTAATAAACGTCAATATTGGCCATTTATTTCCTGTTAGATTTATCTTAAACCTTCATTTTATTGCTTCGAGAGTGTCGATTTTCTGATCGCTCAAGTCCCTGTCAGTCTTACATTTCTGAAATTTAAGGTGACTGAGAGTTCGATATTGCTTTTAATAAGAGCCAAATGTGAAATTAATATTTAATGAATAAATGTCTCTAACCATATTACCGTGGTAGATCTAGTTACTCAAAGATAATGATACCAAATAGAACATTAGTGCGTATGCTTTGGATTGCTTATAATATTTTGCTTATAATATTTTGCTTCACCCGGATCCTACAGCCGATGATACTTTAAAAATCATCTGGCACCTGATTGGTCTTTCCTAATTTTAACACCCTGAGTTTGAGATTAAAAATCCTATTGAAGCTGCAGATAATTGCGAACCTCGTGTATGCTCGGAGACAGAAATACTGACGAAATATTGTGATGTAACAATTTCAATTGCTAAAAATTGAAATTTGTTCTCCTACAGAGGTTTTTTATATCCCTACATATCCACCACTTTAGTCATGAATTATATCAAAGCTTCATAGAATAGAATAGAGTGTATGGGAATTGAATCAAATAAATCAGAACAGTCTAGAATAGAAATGTGACTGTGGGAAGTCCTGAATAGACGATGATGTCATGTGTAGTGGCTATCAAACATGTACATGTAAGACCTGTTCACAACCATGGAATATCCTCAAAACAAAATTCATCTAATTCATATCACCAAGGTTTAGTAATGATTTTCTACTCTTCTCTGATATCCCTAGATTACTCGTCCTACATCTACTCATATCCTAGTCATTACGCACGATCATAGCTAGTGTGCGCGAGAACAACTGGCCAACAGAAACTCGTGTCTCAAAAGCATACCAACACATCGTGCTGTAGTAGGCGGGTTAGGTTCACGCTGCGTGAAATACTGCCAAGTCATGCAAGGATTTCTGACAGATACTTTACAGTGAAATTACACATAAAACCTCGGAATAATGGCGGCCAGAGTTAAAAACTAAAACTGCTTCGCTAGATGAGATATTAATAAATCACCAGGGCAGCAGCACCACCATAGGGGCCAACTCTTCGAACACTTCGAAGACCAACGCCGAGTGATGAGGTGCCTTCTCTTCTTAATTTCTCTTCACGTTAGTCTGATTGAAGGGGAGGTTTACGAATTCTGTGGAAAGCTTAAATAATTGTGGCTGAAAGGAACGGCCTCAGCATTAAGCCGGGTCGGTTCAGAGTGGCGGGACATTGGGTTTTGTTTGTTGAAACCTTTTCCCTTAGCAGAGCGGCTTACCGTCTTCATAGTTCTGTATATAGATACCGCACAGGACGTTAAACTAGAGAAATGAATGAAGAAATCACCAATGGATACTGTCTGCGAGATTTCACACACGACGGCCCCTATGAATAAATGTTTGCGGACTCGTAGTTGGCTCTTTCGCAATGAATCCCCGCAATATAGGATCTTTGGTATGTTACTTTGAAGCCTGACTTGAGGGCATATTCAGGTAATATAGAGCTTTTTCGAACTTTTAAATGAGTTGACGAGGTTGTATTTCACTATCCTATCTCGGCCTGTGGGGCGGCGTTAATACCGGTCATCGTCGTGCACGGGACTAGGATGCTTTTACGGCGGTAGTAAATTCTCTCCCGTGCCTCCTGACGGCTTGTTCATCATGGTGCCACTTTTTTTTTTTTTTTTTTGCATCAGATTTTAACTGCGTATGCAGCTATCTAGCTATGACACAATATCAGAGAAAAGTACAGAAAAGATGACTCAGTTTATAATAGGAGCACTCATGCCTCGGATTTTATTTGCAAGTACCACTGCGAAGTTATGGTGGCTTTTTCTTCTCCCCAAGTCAACCCTCATCCGTGAATACCCACCCAGGGGAACGTCTCAAAAACCCTGAGTTATCCAGACATGCCTCTGTCATCCATCAACTTTTCTCTGCGCGAAATGTAATCTGAGATGTCTCCTTCCCAAGTGGAGTAGGTGCCCAGGCTACTCAAACCATACCAGAGAACATCACCAGGAGGCGGACCACAACACCTTCCATCGTTTGCTTGTTTTTATAGTGTCAGCTGCACTCTCGCAAGCGAAGTCTTGGCGCGCACAAAGCCCAATTCGTAAAACTCTTGCCAAAATTCAAAATTCCACGCCCGTCGAAAACGTATCCCTCTTCTGCATCATCTTGTGAACTTGTCCTGATCCCTCTCACGTCCGTCCCAAAGAGCTATCTCCCAAAATTGTGCTCCACGCTTTGCTTCCTCCGTCGGATGTAAATATCGGCGTGGGCGTGTATTTGGTGACCGGCTGAGGCCAGAGAAAGTCGACGAGAGGTGTGGTAATTGAAACGAGGATGTACTAAGTCGTACTTGTAGACTTGATGAAGCTTAGTTGAGAATCGGACTCTTTGGGAGTGAAAGATTGACATGGTGGAGTAATTTGAATTTTTGCCTCGTGGGCCAACTTCTTTGATATTGCGAAATTTGACTGAACTTGGCTCTGGGAGAATATTTCACACCCAGGTTCGTAGAGGACACCGCGTACAGGTGTTCAGTCTTGCCCTCCTTCTTGGCCAGTTATTGCTATACCATTCGGGGTTATTTCTGAAGTCATAGAAGGATGTTGCCATCTACAAGTAGGCCAAATTGCTTGGTTTGGCCTGCGGCTTTAGCATTTCCCCTTAATTTCCCCGGCGACGAATCACGTACCACAATTTCCTTTTTATTTGGTTTTATTCAACCCCATTTGGCACCCTGTGGGCCCACGCATGCGGCTATGAACCCATCAAAATATTTATGAGGGGGAATCCATTACGATAAAACCCCCTCCCTCTATTAATTTTTAATTTCGTCTATAGTTCCTCGTTACCCCTAGCAAGTACATTTGGTCTTGAGTCCGAGATAGAACTAGCTAAAATTATATTGAACCTCGCCATCCTTTCCCTGCCCTAGCGTGCTGAAAAGATACGAATATGGTCTTGAACTTGACCCCGATGGTCCAAATACTTGTGGTAGTTGGTTGACCAGGAGCTATCTGCGCGGGTGTCCTGGCCCTCTCTTGAGTATGTGTGTTTTTTGTTTTATATTTTAAAGTCCTAAGCTAAAGCTCTAGGTCCACTATCGGTACAAGACTGGTGGAGCCGGCGGGGTTCTCTGCGTACAGGCCCAACTCATTCCAACCGCGGGAACCTCAACAAAAGTAGATGAAGTTAACAACAAAACTTAAATCAAAACTAAAATCAAAGCATAAATAAAAAAAAACTGAAATAAACTGAAAAAATAATTTAGAAGAATTTCATAAGTGGTCCAGATCCCGCGCTTCTCGCCCGTTTCCTTTCCTGTTACATCTTCCAAGTGACTTTTTGCTGGAAATATCGGGCAATGTAATGGGCGCAATATTCAAGGAACGAAGGTAGAAGTTGACTGAAAGAGTGTCATGTTCGGATTACAGCTAAAAGTGTGGGAAGTGTGCGCTACAAGTACAAGTGTAAGCGACACAGAGCCTAAGCCACAGTATAAACGAGTGTGGCGCCATCTAGGCATAGAAAACCCCCAATAACCTCCTTGCGCCCACGCCATACAGCCGCTCATATGTCCAATAGGTAGCCTGAAGCGCTACCATATTACCTATTCAGACCTCTTAAATACACACGAGATCGTGTCGGGAACCTAGACGAAATGGAGGGCCCATACGTCCACAACACTCCGTGTCTCCATTTCCAACACTTTTTCTAATGTCTGCTGAGAGCAAAAAATGAGCTCCCAGGTATCCTTTGCTGTCGGCCGGTTTCCTGCTTTTTGTTGTGAAAGTTGTTGTAGACTTCACCAAGGACTGCCGAGTCCTCAAACTTCTTCTTCGGTTTCCAGAATTCCGAAACCCGATCCCTCCGCCATGGAGACGTCCTTCGCAGAGGCGTTCCTCGCCTCTTCGTCCTTTTTGTATGCAGCTTTGACACGGGCAGAGTCTGCATATCTTTCTTGCTCGACTTTGCGGATTGCCGCGAGCTGTTCCTTGGTCACCGGTCCATCTTTTCTGGGTCTGGCTTAGCAGTGCCGGGAGTCCGATCGGTGAGGTCCCCCACAATTGCGACATGGTGTGAGGGCCTTGCACTCCACTTCCGAGTGCATATTTGAGCCGCAGTTCCAGCAAGCTGGAGCGCGGGAGCATCTGCGGCTGGCGTGATAGCCAAGACAACGTTTGCACTGTTCGAGTTGGGGACGAGGTCGGAAGAGCTTCGCAGCTCCAGAATCGTCGAAGAGGCGGAATCCAGGTCGGGGCGTGGACTCGCGAGGAAAGAGGGCTTGCCAGTTCTCGTATGGCGCCCCAGGCTTGCAGTACCCGTGCGGACGGACAAGAAACGGAACCAATTTCGTCACTCGCGTGACTTCGTCAGCAACCATCTTTGCCGTGATCTCGATGGGACCTGCAAGTGTGTTTATTCTCACCGGTACGGTGGCAATTTGCAAGGCAACCAGATTTGACGCTGGTTCCAGTTTGATTCCAGATTCGCTCCGTGACATGGAGGAATCTAGCAGCTCTTTCCGAGCGAGTTCGTTCTTTGCTGTCAGTGCAAAGCCTGTTTTGACCCGCTGAACCAACGTGATGTCGTCGGCAGCGGTACCAAGCACCTGTGACACAGCTAATCTTACGCCAGCTGGTGACAGGAGTCGGTGGGGTTGGTTAACTTTGAGGCGTAGAAAAAGTCTCGCGTCGACTTTTGTCCTCGGATTGGCACTTTTTGCTTTTGGGGCGGGCGGTGCTGCCTTTGTAGTCGACGGTCCGGCGCTGCGGCCTAGACCTGCACGGGCTACTGTGGCCCAAGTCGTCTTTGGTGCCGGAGCCTGGGTTGTCGAAGGGTTAGGTACCCTAATTTCATGAGCCGTCGGCGGAGGAAGGTTGATGGGGGGCGCAGGGAGAGCTGGTGGAGTGTTCCCTGGGCCTGATTGTATGAACTGGCCAATGGCCGCTCGAAGGTAGACTCTGATGCCGTCTACAAACTCTTTTTCGTCGCCAATCGAGAGAGGCGAAAGTGCTGCTTCAACACTGCTTATTGCAGTGGAATAGATTGATAAAAGGGCCTTGATTTGCGTCGTGCGACGCTTCTCGGCCTCCATCACTGATTGCAGCTCCGGTGGATATTCCGGTGCTGATGTCGAAGCTGCGCCTTTTGAGGCTGGCACAGCATTTTTTCCGGCATGCAATTCTGCACGTTCGGTCGTCTTTTCTCTGACGACCTCCTTTCCTTTCCTGGAACTGCTTGCCTCGGGGGCCAGCTCGGCGGGTTTCGCGGTCTGTTGACCATTTGTTTCTGTTCTGATCGGGTCAGAATCAGTCATCTCTTGATCGGGAAGTGTGGAAGACTTCCCAGGGATAAAGGCCTCACTCGCAAATAGGCTTGATAATTTTTGCGCGAGGCCAGGTGTTTTTGCAGGAGCCCTCGGGCGGACTCTCGCGTTGTCCAACATTGAGTTGGGGAGCTTTTTTCGAACAGGTAGCATGATAAAAATGCCAGTGACTCGATTACAATTTATTGAAGGAATGCGACGAACGCGAGAGGGAGGGAGAGGGGGAAAGGGTGAATATTCGAATTTCAAAAAATTGTGGGTGTGTGTGCGTGTGAGTGAGTGTTTGTTTTGCTATAGTAGTTGTTATAGATGCCGCTGGTGTAGTTTCTCCTTTCCTAAGTTCCGCCGCTCTCTCCATTAGTTCATACCGTGCCCGCTGAACGCTAACCTTGTGTGACGCGAAGTTTTGACACGCCTCCTTCTGCCACGATTTATGATCCTTGCCGCAGTTGCAACAAAGTACCGATCTTCTTGGGCAGTCTCTTGTCAGGTGAGTGCCTGTACATTCACCACATCTACTTTCCTTATTGCAGGAAGCTTGAGTATGCCCCATTGGCAGCAGTTAAAGCACTGCTTGATTTGTGTCCGGGGTGACCAGAGCTGGGCCGTGTAAAGCATTGGGTTGTGTAAAATGCCGTTTCTTATCACTTCGCGTTGAAGTGCCTCTGTCGGCAAACTCGCGACGATTGACCCTCGAGTATGGCCGTTAGTACCCATCAATCGATACTCCTTTCCGTCGAAGAACCATCTCACCCTGTTTATCTTTAGATCGGGAATTCGAGATTTTGTTTCCGCCGTAACTTGATTTATGAATATGCCGTTGTCTAGGTTTTTCCTCCTCTTATAAATTTTCTCTAGAGGGTCCCCAATATTTCAACTGGATATTCCTGCTTTAAAACGCACAACTCCTTTGGCTGCGCCATAATGAGGGCTGTGTTTCGCTGGGAGACCGACTGTACATACACCTCCGTATCGTTGCTCCGCAGCTTTCTTACTGCGTATGCCTCCTCGATATGTAGTTTTGCCTTGTCTAGCAGCTCTACCGGTTGCATGTTGTCTGCCCCTTAAGGCTTATTCGGACTGCCGCTTTAGTCGCTGGCGGTGCGACAATTGAGGCGTATGTTGGTCGCCTTCCCGTTCCTCATACTGCCGAAGCAACCGTCTTGCGCGACGGCTCTTCGAGATTCTTCGTGACTACCTTCTCTAAGGCATCAAGTGCCTCACCTATATCGACCATCGGAGTCGTAGATATGTCAGTGCCTGCTATCTGCAGTCTGTCTCTGACCTTGTTTATATAAAGTCCTACTGTCGTTAATGTGTCCATATTGACGCCTGTAGAGGTCGCGAGAGAATCTACAGCCGCAATCGAGGCGGTTCCGCTGCCCGTTTGTGGTGGTTGTGGTGCCGTGAAAATTTTTCAGCCGTGAAATCCACCTTTCTGGTTCTCCAACTCGCCATGCCGAAGCGCAACGTGAAAAAATTAGGAAATCAGATAAGAAGGACTGATTAAGACAGTAATAATTTTAAAAACGATGAAATTACGTTCATGGAACGTGGTGCCGCTTATCGACACAAAATCATTCCAACTCAATGTATACTCATTTGGTTAAACTTGAGGTTCTCCTGTATCCTTCTCCAGTCCCCGAGAAAGCTAGCCATGAAAAATCAGGCTTGCAAAGAAGCCTGCCCAGTTTAATTCGCCTCAAGCGCTGCGACGCGCTTGGATGTGTTGGGTGTGAATTAGGTAGTGCGAGTAATTACATAGATTTATTTTAATATTGAATATTATTTGGCACGGACGGATAAACAAGAATTCGGACCGGTATGCCCTGTTTTTCGGTTGACCGGCTGGCTTGGGCTGCTAGTCTATTTGGGCCTTCAGGACGGCTGTTTGGAATGAATAATCTCACGTAGTCGTTCCGCCGTTCACCCTATCTATCAAAATGGAGCCGAATGTCCATTATCAAAGCCTCGAAACACCTACATGGTGTATTGCTGACTTCTGCCTCATCCCTGTGAGTCGCCTGAGTTGCTCGTCTGGGAGATGAAAGATCTCTAATTCATAGATTGGCACATCGACGCCATCAGTCTCGAGTGAGGTAGCCGCCGTACAGCGATTGATGAAGTCGAGCGGTTTAAGCTACGAGATGCACAGCGCGGGGACAACGCTCGGTAAGCTGGAAGACAATTACATCTAACTGCTACTCTCTCTCTCTCCTCTGCCCTTGAGACAGGGTTAGGTCTCTGACAGAGCTTTACTAGAGGGGAGCTGGGAAGACGTTTTTCGAATTATCGGACAGGCGCACACCTTGGTGCATAAGAATCAAGCCGTGCGCATACAATCTGATATCCGCGTTGGAACCAGGTCTGTCGTCGCTCCATCTATCGACTGTTACAAGTATTGGTCTAAGACTAATTCTAGGACGGACAAATGCCAGCGCTTCAGCCAAAAGGTGTCCAAAGTTGAAGAAATACTGGGAGCGGAAAAGTCATCGACTGTTTAAAGACCAGTGGACGTAGCAAGAGGTTTTGTTGAAGGCCTAGTCTCTAACTCGATAGCAGTCATCCCGGTGGTCCATGGCTAAGGCAGCGTTAAAATTTATGCGTATTTGCAGGGTAATCCAGCAATAGACAAACCGCATTATCGGTGTCTGTAAATTACAGGCCTCAATCTTAATCTTTGATGGGAGATTTTTGCTGCTGAAGTTTTGCGCGATTGCTCTGTTGTAGTCTTCACTTCCCATTGTCGTACAACGGCACTCGTTGGCCTTGGTGAATTCTGGCTATGAATCATTTCAGTGATGCAATCAATCATTTCCACATCTATCCAATACAACGACTACATTCTTTTGGGTGCAAGGTTCCCGAGAGAGGGTGGCCGAATTCTACGGGCAATCACTGAGCCAAATAGCTATCCATCATGGGCACTGTATCAGAGACCTTCATTTGATAATGTAAGAGGATGGTAGAACTGTGCTAGGTGTGGCCTAGGTCAATGAGAGCCCAATGTGCTAGATTGTTACTGGCCCAAGTAACACAACCAAAAATTAAACCAGTGGCCGCAAATTCATGAGGACAACAAACACAAGCAAAAAAACTGGAATTGATCTAGTCCAGCTCGTCCCCGCTCATGCTATAGAAATTATGGCTACCGGTAGTAAAGGCCATTGTTGGTAAGTAACATCAAAAGATCCGAATCCTTTGTTAGGTTCTAATATTTTAATTTTATTATACCCTGCTCCTAGTTGCCAGTAATTATTCATCTCCTGGTGTAGTTGCCATATTTTCCTGTCCACCTCACACCGCTGGCAGATGTTAGTCAGTGGCCTGGTAGCTCAAGCTCATATTGTACCTCTCCTCCTTTGACTATCACCTGCGTTGCTCTACACGTCTCGTGAGAGTCGAAAGACGTCTATCATCACCTTGTACGAGAAAGTCCTGGACTAACCTCGAGCTATAGATAATGAATGAGAAAATATTAAACTATATCAGTGGAGTGCTTTTGATATTCAACGTTTCGCTCTATCTGCAGTGGAGAAATTGCGGCCTAGAAGGGCTATCCAGTCATAAACTACGTTGAGGCTCCTAGTTTGGATCAATTAATTTGCATACAGCTATCCAGCCACGAATAATAAGGAATGTCTAGCGTACATGCTAGATGTCCCTTTGGATTCAGAGACATTCCCAATCGAAGTTTTATTAGCTCTCACTGAAGTTTGCTTTTTAACACTCAACAATCGATCCTAATCCATGAGTACACACCAGGGGAAATCTACAAAGCATTTGGTGTTTCCAGAAAAGCTTCGACATCCTGGGAAGAGTACTATGAAGAGTGTTTCCATTGAAACCGGAAAATAGTAGGTTATTCTTATAGACTAGACGAAGCTTGGGTCGAAGTGAGAGCCTTGAATCACTGCCTCGTGAGTCAACTTTTCGGAATAGCGACATTCGACAAAGTTTAAGCAATGAGAGAACATTTCACTTTCAGATCCGTAAATAAGACTGCCGAAAATGAAGTCTTTGCCCTCTATAAATTTTAACTATTGCAGGACTCGAGCTGCCACAGACTGGCGTCCCCATGAGGACTACGGCCTGCCTGTTACTACCCTTGTGCTGTAGACTAATACTGGGATGCTGTGTGTCGTATGGTCAACCAAGTCATGAGCAGCCCTGATAATATAGTCAATGCGTTGCGGTGGTTATAATGTTGCGATGGCAACAATAACTGTTGCAAGTTTGGATGGAAGTCTCGGATATCTCTGAGCGTGGCCGTAATCAACAGAAGACGGATAGAGTAAACTCAGTCTGATTCGCAAATAAAGGTCATGTAACAAGAATGATGGGCTCTCGAATTAGCTTCCAGCACTTCGATAACCCTCTATCTACAACTACTCTATATACTACATGTTTGGTATTTGCCTGAGGCAAAGCGGACATTTAATGGAATATACTGCTAGTCTGATCAGAGTCATTACACTTTATCGTATCTGCACGAATCGCCCTCTTTAACCATAACCACCTCTACTGTGGTAACTTTTAACACTCACTGATAAACACAGTAATCAGTTGCTGTGTTATCACTGTAGGCTACAAGCCATTGATTGTAGTAGCCACTCTCGAGTACATATGGAGGCTCTAGGACTCATTCTATTTCAAAGGTTTTGTCTCAGAATTATTCCAGACTTTAGATCAATCCAGTTATTATAAGTTTTACCTTGTACTCCAGCTCCGTCAAGTTCCGACCCGTGTCCTCCGGACAAAGCCACCAACCCTGACACTAGCCGTATCTGATTAATAATGGCATAAACGATACGGTCTTACGATGGCCTGGATAAGGAGGATTCTTACCGCTAACTTGGTCCGTGAAGAAGCTTTGTATTGATAATTGGCAGAATAGTTCGCACCTTGGCCGGAGCACGACGTGGGGTTAGATAAGATCCATTTCATATGCTTTTCCAATTCCCCCTAGATTATTGCAGAGTTCAGACGCGCGCACCAGCGGTAGAATCAGGGATACTTGTAGTCTTCTGCATCGTCTCATTTTCATCCTGGTATGCGTGGTGATGTGAGAGAACAGCCTTTGAGGGTTGGAAGAACTGATGAAACGATCATGTCCAACCATCAGCCTGTTTATTCCTCACATTCTCGCCAGATGTTCGCCTCGCCCAGTCTTGAAGGTGAAATTTTGTTATCTCATGCGAGTAAGTGACCCGCGAGTGTCGTGGCTTCTGAAAAGGGGATCGAGATGGAGTCTAGGAATATCCTAGGCTTACAAAAGTAAAGATTTGAGTGTTGGCATTGATAAGACCACTTTGGTAGTTGGGGCAGGCTCCTCAGTAACGACGACCAGGTGTGGAAGAGAGCAATGCGACTACAGTTTCGCAGACCAGAAGATGTATGGTACGTAATCTGACAGAGTCCCAAGCCTACAAGCGCCCTTTAGCCTAGACATCGAAATGATACAGAGCTATCTCTTTTACTCCACTCCCTACACACTCACAGGAATCAGAGGGTGCACATGCACTTCTTCAGGGCCCCCGCCATGATTTCAGACTTCATATCGTTTGGATTGATCATCACCTGGCCAAGGGCTTGTGCAGCTTTGACTGATTCCGTAGGTCTGATGCCATATCTTCGCGTAAGCTTGATATGAGATCCGATGGCAGAATGAGAAGAGTGTCGACCAACTTTCTGCTGTTTGGCCGTCTGATAGGTCGAGGGAATGAGTGCAGTGCTGACGGTCAACGTTCAATGAGCTAGCATGGAGGTGTTCTGGGTAGCTGGGCTTCTACGATGCGCCACTCCCGAGAATCCTTCCGACGCAGGAGGCGCGCCTTTGAAATTTGCCGGCTCCGCCCCGCACTCGCGATGGGCAGGCAGTCGTGCCACGTGACTACGTATTGTAAGCCGAACGCGCCGTGAGCACAGTTGCCCATGGCCAGGGGGCTCGAATAGCTCGAGAATTCGGCACATCTGGTGGAATCCGGGGCTTCGCCTTGCATACATACCGGCTGTGCATCAGCGGACTTTAGCTCCTATACTACGCCACTGAAGGACTAATCAGTTTCCCGCGACAAGCGTGGCCTCGGACTTCTAGCCAGACATTCTCGGAAGTGGCCAGCAACAGCGCTGAGAGCAGAACGAAATTAATGTGCCTGACGCGCTGAATTTGTCCATAGTCCGGTCACGAGTAGCTGTCGTGAAGCTGATCAAATGAGCCCTCGAACCCTAGGATCAAGCTTCGTGGGAACGGCGATGGGTGGAGACGGAGTGAGTTCATGACTGGGCTCGCACAATCTCATGTACAGAGGACTTTGCCAGGAACTCCTCATCCTAGACCAACGAGAGGGGAATGCTGGAACGCTTACGGGGAGGTAGGTAAAATGGGGCCAATGGTCGAGCCCGTGCCCCCTTGCGCGTTCCAACCTGACTCTCGCCAACGCTAGACGTTTGATGTCATATTTCCATCCAATCACGTGCCTTTGACGTTGTTCTGTTTTGGGAATAGCGGGATACCCTGGGTAAAGGGTAATTCTCTACGTAAGGAGGAGGGGGCGCAGGAGGAAGATGAGCAACTAATATGAAGGACGAAGCGTGGACACCGTTCAGCGGCACTCATACGACCATAAGTCAGTATGCTACCTTAGCATAGCTCAGACAGGTTTCGCACTACCGAAGACATTGGGCAACAACTCAAGACTTCCAGCCACATCTATCCTTCGATCCCAGAAAAATTGATTCTGGTCAAAGCCTCAAGTCTTCCGGCACGACATAGCATGTCCCGGCTCCAGCTACCAGATTTCACATGAATTCAGCCTGTGGCCTCGGTCGGCCCCAATACACGCCCGTGGCAAGGTGGATACGCCGAGGACACAAATCTGCGAGATAGGCCCTGAGATGAGTATGAGAATTTGAGTCCAGGGTAGTTGTAGTGCAAAGAGGGGATAGAGTGGACAGCTTTCTCCTTCCAGACAGTCGATTACCACCATAGTCCTGGTGAGACTCATTGGCGGCTGACTAAGGCTTCATCTGAAAATTTGCAAGCTCTTTATGCGCATCTACTCGCCGACAGGGATTCTGATGTATTAACAAAGGCTCTCCCTAGGTGTATCCCCGAGTGAGACCAAGGGCACGAGTTCCGTCAACTATTTAACATGTGTGCAAGGCACTGAGCATGTCTCAGTGTCGGACGGTGGAATATGCGATAGATAGTTGGAGGGCTAGGAGTATTTGCGGATTGCCTTTCCGACCTATCGTGGAGACTAGCGACCCAAGAGGTCTAGATTACAGACAACTGAAGATGAATCGAGCCATGGCTATCCTTGGTCAATACGTCAAGAACCTGAGCCATGCTTACCAGCCTACAGCTGCAGCACAGTAGATTCTTGCCAGTGCAGTGGCGAGGCGCTGGAGGTTGTGGAAAGTCTGCATCACGCCATGCTGGTAGCTACTTCTGTAGGCCGGCGTGGTCCCCTAGATGATGGGCTAGAAATGCCAATATTCT